TTGAAGCTTGGCCTCGTCCAGTTATGCTACGAGCCAATCAAGCAAATCATTTATAAGAGTTGAAGAAATGCTCCGAGTTATGCTATCAGCCAATCAAGCAAATCATAAATCATTCACAAGAGTTGAAGAAATGCCCCGAGCATAACACCTCGCACAGCTAAATGAGCGGTGGCACCTCGATGTATTTGAGCACCACCAGGCTACCGAGCACGGCCAAAGCCTCCAAGCATGGCTACCCTGGGCTCAAGCGGTTGGGTTGGGTAAAAGTGAATTTGCCCGCGGCACATTTAATGCGAAGCAGGCTATCGACTGTATCCCGCTGCACGCTATGTATTCTAGGGGAATGATGATGCTGTCGCAAGGCGGTATCGCGATACCCCGCACGATAAGAGGGGCAGTTGATCAGACTGGCACGACAATACAATGCCACTTTTTGACTATGGCTCTGACACCCTGACCCGGGCTACTGCTTCCATGAACTACTTTTTGACTGGCTCTAGCGCCCTGACTAGGGCTGCTGCCTCCATCAAGTACCAAACACTGATGCGTGCAGCCTAGAACTTTGGGATTGTTTTTAGCCCCTGGCCGAACAACTAAAAGGGGGTCTCCACTGAACCCTGGTTTCGACAATCATACGTCAACAAATACATTATGAGCAAGGGCCCAAGGCGCAATTAAAAAGGAATATTCAATATCAAAAAAGGGGAATATGTGAGGAATACAACTTGGTATACTAAATGTTGCACATATCTCCAGACCATTGAATGGTCAGACAACAGGGTGGGGAGGGGGGGGGGTGGAACCGAGAGGTACCAGGCCAGGTATTTCCTGCATAGCTCTTCCTTTTTTAACACGTGGGATGAGTTAAGTAGTTGCAACAGGCAACCTCAGTCCGATATCGCTTTGGACCTCCAGAAAAATGCATAACACTACTTTTTCCCAGCTAGATAATTTGATCAAATCAAGTACAAAAAATATATTCTTCTATGCTTTAGTGAAGTCAGGAGGAAAGTGTTGTGTAAACAAATTCAACGGACCTGTACACCAACTTGACCCTTCAGGCCGGCAATCAATTCTGGGCTAGTTTTATCATTTTCATCACCATGACCTAATGCTCCACAGTAGCCTCTACCCCATGTATAGACCTGGAGAGAAAAATCCGACTTTTACTTCTGTCTGGAGTGTATAGAAGTCAAAAAACATAGTTGAAAGTCCATTGAACAATATACTCACATATCCCAGCGCATCAAGAGCTACAGCATGCTCATCTCCAGCGGATACACGGACAACAAGAATGTTCCTCCTCTTAAATGATTGGATTGCACGTGGAAGAAGTTCATTGTGCTGATCCCCATGTCCAAGACAGAAGTTAGTACAAGACCCAAAAGAATAAACTGTCCCATCATCAGTCACAGCAAATGTATAGCTTGCACCAGCTGCAACCTGCACCACTGGACTGGGACCTTTGAATAATTCAACAATCTTTGGAGCAGCCCTGTCTGTAGTGTCACCATGACCAAGCTGGCCATGTGTGTTACTTCCACATGTATACACTAGCCCCTTCCTCGTAAGTATCACAGTGAAACTTAGACCAGTAGCAACCTGTGAAAACAACAAGATAACATGAAACTAGGGCTGTGCATCACAAAGAAAAGGGGAACTGAAATTGAGCACTTGGAACAAGAGCTAAGCAATTTGATAAATCAATGGAACAATTTGAAAATAGCACATGCACATGGAAATAATAATCAGTAACAAAAATTACACAAATCCCACATATGACAACCAACATGTTGATTTAACATGTAACTGAAATCAGAGTTAGTACCAAGGGTGAAAGACAGGGATCAGGTGGTTTAGCAAACCAAAAGGGATATATACATGTGAAGCTGATTTTCAAGATCCTGCAGACATGTTGATGGCGCATGACTAAGAAGTAAGAACTAGAAGAGGAACATCAATCTTCTGCGGCATCGAAGAAGCCGTAGGTTGTCAAGGGCTCATTGTTGTGACACATGAGCACTAGAAATCTGCTGGAGTAGTCTACGAACAAGGAAGTGAATGGCAGACGCGCAAACTCGCCCAAGGGATTTGCACGAAGTGACAGCCCTAACTGAACATGTTGGCATGCCGAAATCACGCTCGAGCTGCAAGTACCCGAATTGACCGTCACTGCTGAGGTGGTAGGCTGCAGTCCAGACCTTGTCGTCATCTTCCTTGCGCTGTCCATGAAAAAACTGCTCGCACCTATTGAGCCAACCAGGAGGATCAACTGAGCCATCATATGCTGGGATGTCAAGCTTGTGGAAGGCGGGCACGCTGGAACCAGAACCTGAGCCTGCGTGATGGTTAGGCAGGAGCGGACGAGAGGTGATGGGCGGGACCCATGGATGGATTGTGGAGGGGGGCGTGGCCATAACAGTGTATGAAATTGGTTGGCAGGTGGAGACGGGAAGGCAGCGGCGCTCTGCGGCAGCTGCTGCTGTAAAGCTGTTCATGGTAGGGCTGCTACTGGTAGGTGGGCGGCAAAATTGGGAGGGAAATAGGATGGGATTTGATATTAGGGGGCAGCTGCGAGGGGGGGCAGAGGTGCTGTTGGTGAGGGGAAGCACCAGGAGCGCGTCGTTGCTGGGGAGGAGAACCAAGGACACGGAGGCGGCGGCGCGGGCGGCTGCTGCAGCCGCGGAATCTGGTAGCGGGGGCAGGGCCGGCGACTGTTGCTCGAGCGTCATCACGTGCTGCACCAGCGCAGCGAGGGGCGCCTGGTCCTCACTCATTGCCGTGTGAAGGTCTCCAATTGCTTCCTGATGATCTTCATCTGCTCCACAACCTCGATCTAGATTTCTTCGCCTGCCATTGCAGATAGATCTGATACCAAATTGAAAGGACCTACTAGACATAACCCTAATTACTGAAAAGTAAACAACAATATTCTTCTCCCCTTCATTGAGTCGCCCCTTTATATGGTAGATGATACTTGACCAACAAGCTGGCAAATCTATTCAAACTCTAATATGATCTTTACACGGACTCTTTCCTAACAAAGTTGCTTAATCAACTAGGGCTCTAATTAAGTGATAAGACTCCACATTTGACGGGCTGACCAACATAACAAGATTTACCTGCTTGCAGGAAATTCCTTTAAGGGCTAGTATTTGGGTTGGCCGAAATATAGTTCGTCCCACATCCCCATGACCGCAGCAAGCTGATGAATTATCTCCACAGGTGAACACCTGCTTAGAGAATTAACTTTAAACAGAAAGTCAAAAGTAACAAAATTATATCATTAAGAAATATGTAGTGTCCATGCAGTTACCTCCCCAGACTCTGTAACGAAAGCAGCATGGTTGTGAAAGGCGGATATATTAACAACACGGGCAAGCGACGGGAAGGAAACCCGACTGAATGCCACACACTGTGTAGTATCAGGACCATGTCCTAGCACACCACACAAACTGGACCCACAAGAATAGACCGAAGAGTCATGGACTAAGAGCGTGTGATATCTCCCTGTCGCTACTTGCATCTGGAAACAATACAACATGTTCACATAGATAAGAAGCCAATTTGGACATGATTTTCTAATATCAGAAAATTACAACCATTTCAGTGCCATACTAAAGAAGCCATTGCCAATAAAAAATAACAAAACAAGTTGTAGACAAAAAAGAAATAACTTCCTAGCTAATTCATTTACTTATTGGCAAACATACCAAAAAGTGTCAATCACAACAAGTTCAACATATTATTAACTCCGCAAGGAAGAAGGCTACATTTTTCTACGTAAAAGTAGCAAGCCCAGAAGAACACTTCTGCCCCCCTCCAAAACAACCTAATACGCATGAAATTCAACAAAAAGCCCGAACAGTCTTGTCCACAAGAACATGTGCATGGTCAGTCATGTGGCAAACATTCTGGATACTTGTGGGATATGGTCAGGTCAAGGAAAAAGCCAAACTTCTTTCCATGAGTATCTTGAGATGTTTGCCACCAGAGCATTCCAAACGTGGATACACCTTTCAAGTGCCCACAGGAGGGTTGTGGTTAGCTTTCAAGTGGACATGGGCTCTGGCTGATTATTTGTGAGTTCATACATGGGAAAACCCTATAAACGATTACAATGCTTATTAGTATATGCTAGGGAAGAGCAAAGTCGACCCATGTCATGTCACTGGCTGGAGTGAACAACCATATCACAATGTTTCTCAAAATGTTTGTTTGATATGAAATGGAAGAAAATATGCTTGGAAATAGAGCGTGACAGGGTTGGAGAATGGCACGAGTAAACTATTAGATGTGTGTTGTCCAAAGTACAAGGGTTCTCTTGATGCAAGATGGATGGCTCAATTTTTTCCTAGAGTTATACGTGTGTTGCACATGCATGCTTAAAATGTAAGAAACCTTAAAACATACTCCCTCCGTTCCAAAATAGATGACCCAACTTTGTATTAAAGTTAGTATAAAGTTGAATCATCTATTTTGGAACAGAGGGAGTAGAACGAATTGGCAACAGAATTTACCAAGAGGCCATCATAATAAATCATTTCGAAATGATTGCATCTGATTTCATGTCATGTCCATGGTAGCATTATATGCCATAGGAGTGCATACGACAGAAAGGTTACTAAGTTTCTCATCATGAATTAGTTTTTACTGTTCACTGTCTTATGATGAATATGATGCGTCCCACTTTAAGCCAAATGTGGGTGTGTGCTCTTTTCCTACTTTGGTTACTCAGAATACCTTGAGCCATGCATGACCGAATGTATCTCTAATTTATCCCAATTCCCATATGTGTAAATGTAAACCCAGTGAACCCAATCATTACGACCAACATCTCTACCCACCAAAAAGGTTGCATTTTCCCTATGTTATATCAGTAGTAAATGAGAGAAAGGGTCCTCACGTTGCCGGACGAGGTATGTACGGTGTCGAAGGATTGCTCCACTGACTGCAGGAACCTCAGCACCTTCTTCCAGCTACCGCCACATCTTGCGAGGAGCTCCCCACGAGCCGCAGGCCCAATGACGGAGCAGGCCATGCGCGCTGCGCATAACCGCGAGGCGGCTTGCTCAGCGAGAGGACGGAGGGCGCGGCAGGTACCCTCAAGCCTGGCGAGGTCACCAGCGGCGAGCCTGCCGGAGCTCAGTACCTCCCCGATGAGGTGGCCCGGTAACTCTTCCATGGAGAAAGCGCGAGGCGACTTCTCCCCAGCCATGGATCCACCGCCACAGCTACGAGGAGGAATCGCTGTCCTTGGGGTGAAAAATCGGCGGTTTTGGTGCGAAATCGATTGGAATCATCCAAAGATCCGGACGAGCGTATCGAAATGGTAGGAAAGCAGAAGGAAAACTAAGAGAGGCTAATCCGCGGAGTAGCGACCGATTTGCTGCGGGCCGGTGAAGCGGAGCGGAGAAACCAAATCAGATCCACCAGATTCCAGGTCCCCCGCTGGAAGCTCGAACCAGCAACAGCGGATCGAATCCAAATCCAATCGGGCAAGGAAGGGCCGAATTGAATTGAATCGAATCGGCAGAAGCAGAAACTGGATAAGAATCGGTTGGTCGGAGGTGGGAATTGAAGCGGGGAAGGGAAGGGGCTCCTTTCCGAGAAATTTGGCCAGTATATATTTGTACGCACGCAAAAAGGATACGGACGAACACGAACCGACAGGAAGCAGAGGAAAGCAAGGAAGGGGAAGAGAGAGAGAGAATAGAATGCCGTGAAGCCTCGCTGCGCCTGCGCAGTAGGGCCGATCGTGGCTACGGCAACATGTCAGTGAGTGTTTCCAGGGAGCGATGCGGTGTCAGTGGGAAGGAAAGAATGTTCGTTGATCGGTTCGGTGGGTGCGCGGAGGACGACGTGGCTCGGCCTCGGCGTGGCCGCCACTATCGCCTCAGATTTTTTTGACACTCCACGAAGCTTTTTATTTAAACCGTCATAATGTTTATAAAGACGAATGGAAGTTCGTTGAATGGTCTAACCAGACATGGCGGCCAAGCCCTAACTGCAATGCGTGCTTCGTAAGACTGTGAGCCTCGAAGTTCGAACTCCTAAATTCATGAACAAAAATACAAGTATTGAAACTAATGGCATGATCTATGATTTCATGTATGATTGCACCATAACTTGCTACATGCTTTTGTTTGATGTCGTCGATCACTACCCTGTAGTCAGACGCCACATGGATGGAGTTTAAGTTCAGGTCCTCTGCTAGCGCCAACGACTCTCTGACCGCCAAAGCTTCTAAGGTAGTAGGACCATGAATACCCTTAAGAACCAAGGCAAAGGCCCCCAAAAAAACGCATGTCTTGTCCCTGCATACTGCGGCGGCCGACCCTGCTTTTGCCATGCCCCTTGTAGCTGCATCAACATTTATTTTTGCACAATCTCCCAGTGGTGGCTGCCAACTCATGGGTCTCTCTGTTCTTGCATTCACGGTCCTCTGCTCCGGCTTCTTGATGATTTGGAGGTCGTTTAGCTGCGCTTGGATGAACATATGCGTTGACATAGGGCTCTGGAATATGTCTTCATAGATCGCCTTTCTTCGCGCGCTCCAGACCACCCAGAGGGTGATCACCATACGTACAAAAAGGTCATCCGGCAGTACCGCATTCATTTTGAATATCCATTCCTTCGCGTTGTCGCAGTCAAACTAGATCATCTGATCAACAAGGTCTTCATCAGACAGTGCCCACGTACTTCTGGCCATGGAACAATTGATGAGGGCATGCCGCCATGAATCCCTCGCTCCACATAATCTGCATGATGCTGAGGTTGCCATGTGTCTATGCTCAAGCAGGTCTGCAGTTGGGATAGAGCTACGGGCTAACCGCCACAGGAACGTCCTCACCTTTGACGGGACCTCCGTTTTCCAAAGTGCAGACCACTCCTTGCCCTCCTGGTCAGCCCCAGAAGAGCCCTCGGTTTCCTCAATCCAGTTTCCCCTAGTGATCTCGGTTTGCATAATCAGTCTATACGTAGATTTTACAGAAAAATTCCCTCTTCTCTCTCCGCTCCAAGCCCAGAAATCACCCATACTCCTTGTGCAAAGTGGTATTGCCAGGATGGCTTCAGCGTCGATGGGAACAAAAACTGAGCGTACTCGGATGATGTTAGGAGCCATCCTAGCATGTACGCATATGGGCTTGCCCACTGGGCCGCTCATGGACCTGGCCCGCCCACTGGGCCGCTCATGGACCTAGCCCGCCCACTACCCCATCGCTGCAGCTACAAGTACCAGATCGAAGGCAAGGAGCAAACCATCCAGGGGATCACCGAACGAACCGGCGGCGGCTACCTCCTTCCCTTTCCTCCGTTCTTCCCCTACCTTGTTTCCCTCCGTTCATGTAATCAAATTCGTATGTAGTCAAAGCTTGTATCCCAAACTAATGAAAGATCGTAGTAGATCGAGTGGTCCCCAATCTCTTCCTTACATCTGGTATTCAGAGCCAGGCACCACCCTTCCCCAAATTCTTTCACAATTTATTTTCACCGCCACCATCTGAGGGAATCAGCCATGGATCCGTCCATCCAGGAGTATCTCCAGCGGCTTGACGCCAGCCCTTGACGCCTACACCAACACCATAAGGTCCCTCACCGAGAAACTGGGCATCCATGTCCAAAACCCACCACCGTCCGCCACCTCGCCAGAGAGCACAACCGACGCGTCAACGCCTATCCCCAGTGTCTCCTACTCCACAGGCAAGGCCCAGGAGGTTGTCGAGGTCATACACGATGCGCCCCCTACCTGTAGCGCAATGGCGCATCTCACTTGTTCGACGGAATGCTCACACCAGGTCGCCACCACCGACAGCATCGACAAGGTCACCACCGTCTACCACGAGTCCGTCGTCGACCTCAGTGACAAGTTCGGCGCCCTCAACATTCCTGTGATGGCCAACATCAACCCGCCGCTCCACGTCTAGGTTCCATCACCCCAAGTCCTTCGCGAGCAGCACCTACGGCGTCGCTGTTGCAGGACCGGACGAGTACACACTCGTGGCGGCCACTCCAAACGTCGCCTCGAGCTTGTCGTTCCCTCAAGCGTATCCTTCTCCACCAACAAGGTCCATGAGGTCCTTGCTATTCCCCGCAGTGTGTCCCCTGTCTACATCGGCATGGCGCCTTTCACCTGTTCGACGAAATGTTCCAACCAAGTTGGCGCCACTTATGTAACACCCACAATGCGGCTATATCTCCCACGTGTCGGGGCACGACTTAGAGGCATAGTCGCATGGTAGTTTTGTCGCAAGAGGGGTAATCTTCACACAATCCCATGTACTGAATAAGAAAGGGATAAAGAGTTGGCTTACAATCGCCACTTCACACAATACATAAATAATTCATACATCATCCAGATACACCCAAAGACCGACTATGGCCAAATCCAACAGAAAAGGAAGATAAACCCTAAATGCTAGATCCCCGATTGTCCCAACTGAGCTCCACTACTGATCATCAGGAAACGAAATGTAGTAATGACCCAGATCCTCGCCGAACTCCCACTTGAGTTCGGTGGCATCACCTGCACTAGTCTCCTTGGCACATGCAACTGTTTGGAAGTATCCGTGAGTCACGAGGACTCAGCAATCTCACACCCGCGAGATCAAGACTATTTAAGCTTATGGGTAGGAGAAGGTAGTGAGGTGGAGCTGCAGCAAGCACTAAGCATATATGGTGGCTAACATACGCAAAGCAGAGCGAGAAGAGAAGCAACGCACGGTCGAGAAGTTAGAAGTGATCAAGAAGTGATCCTGAAAAACTACTTACGTTCAAGCATAACACAAGGCCGTGTTCACTTCCCGGACTCCGCCGAAAAGAGACCATCATGGCAACACACACGGTTGATGCATTTTAATTAAGTCATGTGTCAAGTTCTCTACAACCGGATATTAACAAATTCTCGTCTGCCACATAACCGCGGGCACGGCTCTTCAAAGTTTATACCCTGCAGGGGTGTACCAACTTAGTCCATCACAAGCTCTCACGGTCAACGAAGGATATTCCTTCTCCCGTAAAGACCCGATCAGTCTCGGAATCCCGGTTACAAGACATTTCGACAATGGTAAAACAAGACCAGCAAAGCTGCCCGATGTGCCGACAAATCCCGATAGGAGTTGCACATATCTCGTTCTCGGGGCACACCGGTTGAACACTACGTACGACAATCGAAGATACCCCAAGTTACCTAGGGACGGCACCGCAAGTGGCTATGTTTTGGACCAACACTCAGAGGAGCACTGGCCCGGGGGTTAAAATAAAGATGACCCATGAGTTTGCGGAACCCAAGGGAAAAGGCTTAGGTAGCAAATGTTAAAACCAGGGTCGGGCCTTACTGGAGGAGTTTTATTCAAGGCGAACTGTCAAGGGGTTCCCATAACACCGAACGGCGTAAGGAACGCAAAATCAAGGAACATAACACCGGTATGACGGAAACTAAGGTGGCAAGAGTGGAACAAAATAGCAAGCAAAAGGTCAAGCCTTCCACCCTTTACCAGATGCATTAATTAAAATAAAAGATATTGTGATAACCCAACATATCCATGTTCCAACATGGAACAAACTTCAACTTCACATGCAATTAGCAATGCTATAAGAGGGGCTGAGCAAAAGCGGTAACATAGCCAAACAACGGTTTGTTGGGAAGGTGGGTTAGAGGCTTGACATGGCAATATGGGAGGCATAATATAACAAGTGGTAGGTAGCACGACATAGCAATAGAACGAACAACCAGCAAAGCAAAGATAGAAGTGATATCGAGGGTATGGTCATCTTGCCTGCAAAGTTCTCAGAGTTGTCGAAAGCTTGATCCTCGTTAGCGTACTCAACAGGTTCCTCGTTGACGTACTCGTCTCCCGGCTCTAACCAAGGCAAGAACACAAGCAATGGAACAACAATCAATCATGGTGCAATGCACAAGCAACATGATGCAATACATGGCATGATATGCAAGATATGATATGCGATGCATATGCGTGCTCCGAAAGGGAAAGAAAGATCAATGCATCAACTTGGCAAACCAAGTATGCCGCTGGAAAGATGAGATGATTTTGGTTGAAATCGATATAAAGATCACAGGAAACAGATGCATGGTTTGCAAATGACAAGCAACACAAGAATGACGCAAATCTGCGATTAACAGCATGATAGCACTTAGAGTGCAACAAGAGACTAAGCTACTGCACTCCAACATTGCAAAAATGCATATGACAGTGA